CGGCGTCCGGCCGACAGAGCGAGCAGGCGGAGGTCCGGCCGCGTCCAGGAGCAGCGGCCGCTGGGCGAGGAAGCGCCCGCCTCCGGGTTCGGACCCGCAGCCCCGAGCCCCATCCTCAGCGACGCCAAAAGGCCCGGCGGGTCACCCGGAGGGGCGGAGCCAGAGCCTGACCCGGTCCACACAGAGGAGGTGTGTCACTCCACCCCGGAGCCCGCCCCCCCCAGGAGAAGACAGCAGCAGCCAGCCAAGAGGCAAGTCCAGCAGAGGGCCCCCCTAAAGAAGCCCTGGGAGAACCCCAAACCCAGAGCCCGCTCCAAGAGCCGGGAGCGCTCGGCCACGCGGGCCAGAGCCCCCCCCCCCCCCGCCGGGGGGAAAGCTCAACACCTCGCTGGGGTCCAACGACACCTTCGACTTCGACTGCGAGGAGGCCGTCCACGTCACGCCTTTCAGGGCCAAGATGGAGGACGTCCAGCCGCCCCCCCCCGTCTGCGAGGGGGGGGCCCGGACCCAGGCCCCGCCGGGGGGCCAGACCAGCTCGTCGTCCCCCTCCTCGGAATCGGAGGACAGCCTGTACGTCCCTCAGAAGACGAGGAGGAGGCAGACCTGCCCCGAAAGGCCCAGAGCGGTCACCACCCGCAGGGGCCGGCCCTCCAGGGGGGTCCGGCGGACAGGGAGCGGCCCCCCACCACCGGAGCCCGCTGGTAAATTCAATTCAATTCAATTTTATTTATACAGGACTGTCTCAGAAAATTAGAATATGGTGATAAAATTCTTTATTTTCTGTAATGCAATTAAAAAACATGAAATGTCTTACATTCTGGATTCATTACAAATCAACTGAAATATCGCAAGCCTTTTATTGTTTTAATATCGCTGATTATGGCTCACAGCTTAAGAAACCCAAATATCCTATCTCAAAATATTAGAATATCGGATTTTTGAGCTTTCTTCAGCTGTACGCCATAATCAGCGATATTAAAACAATAAAAGGCTTGCGATATTTCACTTGATTTGTAATGAATCCAGAATGTATGACATTTCATGATTTTTAATTGCATTACAGAAAATAAAGAACTTTATCACCATATTCTAATTTTCTTAGACAGTCCTGTATAGTGCCACATCACAACAGTTGTCTCACAGCGCTTTCCAAACAGAGAAGGTCAGACCCTACTCTGAAATAATTACAGAAACCCAACAATTCCCAAACACCCCTCATTTCACCGCAAATCACTCAGGTTTGCCGTGTAGCTGCTGAACTAAAGCTAAAGCTCAGTGTGTTGTGTTGTAGTCCTCAGAGACGAAGCGCCCACCCCCAAAGCGTCAGAGGGGGGGGCGGATCTCCACGGATCTCCCCCCGAGTCCATTCTCTCCAACAGCCCCGAAACGGAGAGGCTGGAACAGGAAGATCTCCGTTCAGGTGAGTTTACTCTGACATCTGAAGGCTGTGCAGCAAATTCTAACACAAAGTAGACGCATGAGGTTCTAAGCTAGCTGTAAGGGATGTTGGAACCAGAGGAGGGGCTGTTTGGGGCTGGTCCTGAGTTGAGTCCATCGTGCGTTTCAGGGCCACAGAGGGAGGAGGACGGCCTGCCCCCCGTCAGCCCTCTGGTCGAGGCCGAGATGATGAGAATAAACAGCGTTCTGTCCAATTTTGGGGATTCTTCCTGCGAAGCTCCCGGTCTTTTACGCCACCAAACGCCACAGAGACTCAAAACCTGCACCAAGCGTAAGTCTTCGTTTCTTCTGTGTCCCCCAGAAACCGAACGGCAGGATTGTGTGCACGTGGGTTTGTTTTGTCATGATCACTGGACTCTCGGAGGTTCTCACTGGCACCTAAAAACACGCTGTTCTCTCTTTTTTTTTCCCTCTGGATGTCACATCTGCAGGTGGGCTTGGTGTGAGGAGAGGAGGGAGGGGCTTGAGTCTGTGTGATGTGACCAATCTGTCCCCTGCAGCCTATCGCAGCCTCTCAGATGCCCGGGGCTCCGCCCCCTCCGGCCCCGCCCCAAAGCGGCGCTGCACCATGGCCGTGGACTACAAGGAGCCCTCCCTAAACGCGTAGGTTCTCACTCAGAGTGTGCTGTTTTTGGGTGGTTTTAGTCTTTTAAATGTTTTATAAGAAGGCTCACGCTTGCTTGTTGCTTTCCTGACAGGAAACTGCGCCGCGGGGATAAGTTCACCGACGTGCAGTTCCTCCGGTCCCCCATTTTCAAGCAGAAACCCGGCCGGAGGTCTGTCCAGAAGTCCAGGAGCTCCGTGGGCAGCCAGCAGCCGTTTGAGAAGTACAACGAGTCTTTTGTTGGATGTGGCTGAAAGCAGCGGGCGGCCCTGGCCAGAATTATATATGTATGGAGGACATTTTTATCTCGCGTAACGCTGTTTTTGTTTTTACTGTGACCAGTTTTAGATGATTTTATCGCTTTTCTTGCTCATAGTGACCTTTTCCCCCTTTGTGCAAGTCGAGGAGTTGTCAGTTCTTATGTTTTCATTGTGGGATTTCAAATCAACTTCACATGGTCTAAAAAAACTGTTTATCTTTAAATGGTATGAGCCAATAAAGTGTTTTACTCTTAAAGGCTTCTATTAAAATGTGTTTGCAACTAAAAATGGTGAAAAAGATAACCGACACAAAACTATCCTTAGGTTTGTTTTTATTAAGTCTACAAAATAAGCTAATTCTATGTCATTAAAACCAATTGTACAAAGAGCATGAAATACTTTTTCCAGACACATTACAAAAGTTTTTCTCCCCTCCCTCCCTCCCCCCACTAAAGTTTGGAAAGTATAAACACCTTTTTACAAAACAGCAAAACTACACCGTATTGCACAATCTTCATTAATCTCCAAAGTATAAAGTTATCAATCTCCATCCGCAGGACAAAAATAAGAAATAAATTAAGACCATTTCTTTAGCATGATTCTTCTAAATTACAGCACATAAATAAGAATAAAACTCTAGATTATTAAATTAGTCCTTAGTTGACAGTGTAATTTTTATGCAAAAAGAGAGAAAAGAAGCTCTAATTTATGTTAACTAATACTTGGAAAAATAAAAGTGCCTTTCGATAGTCAAACTGCCCCTTTTGTGACTTGATGAAAAAGATTTTTTTCTTTTAGTTCGGAAAAAAAATATACTGTATGTATACACATTTAAAATGTACAATGGGCGTAAGTGCTTTTAAAATCATTCGGATCTGTACAGATTTAAAATAATTCGTTCCTCTTTTGGCAGGATGAACTCATCACGAACTTTGACCTCATAATCCACAGACATGCTCACGAGCACAGACAGATACTTCGACTCCCAGTCGCACGCCTCGGAAAACACCTGGATTTCCTCCCGTTTTTTTTTTTTTAAAAAGACCCATTCTACTGGATGTGGTTTCTTCTGGTCTGCCTAAGATGGCCGACACACTCGGTCAGCTCTGACCCCTCTCGGCCCTCTGTGGGTTCACCCGGTGGGCCCCCGGGATACCGAACACAAACAAAATACTTCTGTTTGCTGATCCAGGATCTGGGTCAGGACCGGTCAGACCTCAGAGGGGGCTGACCAGGTCAGTCTTCACTGTTTCAGCTTTTCCCCTTTACTTCTCGATGAGGCCCGCTTCTTTGATCTTGGTGTAGAAGAACTTCTCCAGTAGGTTGGCGCACTTGTAGTACTCGCTCTCGGGGGGGTTGTACTCGCGGCAGTTGGTGAAGATGCGCTGCATGTCGGCCATGAAGAGTTTCCGGGTCGTGTAGTAGCGGCTCTTCAGACGCTCGCTCATCGTTTTCAGGTCTGTGAGGGACGAAATCAAAACAATACACACCCGTTTTTAACATTTCCAGGTTTTCCTCATATTCTGGACCATCAGAGTAGACGGAATAACAAACAAAAACATCCCTGGGATGAGCCAGAGCATAGGAATTTCACTTATCTAAACAGATTTTCTACGTATGAGTAGTCAGAAATTCTCCCCAAAATATTCTCCATTCAGGTTTTTTCATTTCCAAGAAGGTGAAAATGAGCTTCAAATTATTATTTTGAAGTATTAGTATTTTCATAAATGTTCATAATTAAATCATTTCCCTCTGGGATTATTAAAGTATTTCTGATTCTGATATTATGATCATATTATTATTAGTATATTGTTTTTATCCTAGACCAATCAATATCAGGACCCTTTGCTTCTTAACGACTCAAAATAAATACAAATACTGAAAAATATAAAACACAGTTGTCACATTAACATATTATGGCTTCATCTGCTAAAGAAAACCTAGTTTTTCTAAACATATCATTGTTAGATTCATTCTTTCATTACAGCATTTCATTTAAAAAAAATATTTTTTTATAGAAAAAGTAAAAAATTAGCAAACAAATGAAGTAGAAGTGAACCGTCTGGTACAAAGTTTTAGTCTGGGGGGCTCAGACTGGACGTACCCATGGGGAAGCGGATGACCTGGTAGTAGCCGGGGGCCTCCGTCTTCTTCACGGGCTCCATGAAGGGCCAGGCGTTCTGGTGGCTCTGAAAGGCAGGAACAGAGGGTTAGAGTGGGGGGGGGTGGGTGGGTGGGGGGGGTTCAGGGGTCAGGTCCAGTTTCTGTGAGCGGCCGTCTGTTGTTCTTCACCTTCACGTGCTGGAGGATGGTTTTCAGGGTGCTGTACAGCTGCTCGGGGTCCTTCAGCTCCTTCCTGAAACGCAAAAACACGTCCAGACGACGTCCAGCTGGTCAGGCCAAGTGCATTTCTAAAAATATTTTTAAAAATCAATTCATTGAGCTTTTTCCCCTTTTTTTTTTTTACACGAAAATAAGACAGCCAACCCTAAATACAGGAATAAAAATGAATAAATAAATAAATAAATAAATAAATAAAACATCCAGGTGGGAGCAAAAAAAGAAAAAGGGGAACAAAAGCAAAAAGTCCACAGTGGTTGTCCCAAAAAATCTTATTTAGGGTCAAAATACAGAGATAAACCAAGTGCATTTTTATCGTGTACACAAAAAAAATAATTTTCCATCAATTTATGCACAATTTTCTTTTTTTTTAAATCCCTCTGCCTGGACTTTAAATGAATCAAAGGCTTACCCTTTTCCCACAGGCTTCCAGCCAGTCTCACCTGTTGATATACAAAAAAAAAATTAAAAAAGAAGTTATATTCAAATCGAAGCGGGAGAGATAAAAGCCGGCGTTATCGGGGGGGGGAAACGCACGTATGCCGGGGATGCTCTCGATGGGGATCTGCCGGACTCCGTCCTTAAAACAGGACAGGCCTGGGTAGACCTTTCGGATCTGGGCCTGCTTCCTCTCGATCAGCTTCTTGATGATCTGAGGCAGACGAGGACAGGATGAAGAGCCGGTGGTGACCGTGGAAACAGAGAGAGGGAGGGGGGGACTGTACCTCTTTCTGCTTCTTGATGATGACGGAGAACTCGGTGTAGGGGATGCTGGGGTTGAGCTCGCAGCCCATCAGCGTGGCCCCCTCGTAGTCCTTGATGTAGCCCACGTACTTCAGCTTGGGGACTTTGATGTCTTTGGAGAAGCCCTGGGAGGAAATGGGAAATGGCGGTTTAACGGTTAAGCAGGGGTTTTGCCACAGACCCAGCCCCCTTACCTGTTTCTTTTTGTTTTAATTTTATTTTTCTTTGTTGACAATTATAAGGTGTGAAAAAGAAAAAAAAGGGAGGAAAAAACTGAAACAAACACACACAACAGAAACAAAACTATATTCCCATCCAGATTGGGATACGACCCAAGCTGGTAAACAATGCCCCATATGTTCAATTAGTCGCTTTGTCGCTTTTTTTTCCCACACGGGAGTCCATCTTTAGTGTTATTCTGTGGGTCAAGTCCTCCATGACATATGTGTCCATAACAATTTTCAGCCAGTCCTTTTAGTCCAGGGGGTCTTCTTTGTACCATTTTTTGGGTGATTGTTTTTTTTAGTGGCAGCGATCAGGATTTTAAACAGTTACCTGTCACATTTACACAAAAATATTTCCAAGATACAACACTGGGAATGTTTTGGGTATCTAGTAGCCAAATATGACAACAATTGTACAACGCACATAATCCCAAAATTGAATCAAACCAGGGCAAAGCCAAATAACATGGGCATGGTTCACATTTGTCTCCCCACATTTTCCCCAAGAGGGTTGGGGGGTAGATTTCTATTTGCTTCTCAGTTTGGGTGTGAAAAAGAACCGTATAATGTTTTTCCAGCAATGTTCTCTCCATGTATGTCAGTGTTTTTCAACCTTTTTTGACCCAAGGTACATTTTTTCATTGAAAAAATCACGAGGCACACCACCAACCAAAAATGTTAAACAAATCTGTAGCCGCCTATAGTAACACTATAGTTATTCTTATTTTATTCTTATCTTATCTTAAGTGTCTTGAATAGGAATCAAATAAACACAAAAATGTATTTTTATCATATTTTATATTTTTTCTTTCAAATTGCACTTAACGTGTCCACTTCAATATGCAAAATTATATAGAAAATCTAGTCATAAGGAATCATTACATGATTACGCCACCAGTCATTAGGACAGCACAGACACTCAAAAATGGAATATTATTTGCAGATAATTAATTCCTTATCAAAAAATCTTTTTAGACCAATTAGGTGAAATAGGATGATTTTCTACAGCACACCTGACCATCACTCACGGCACACTAGTGTGCCGAGGCACAGTGGTTGAAAAACACTGATGTATGTGATGGTGTGTGTGAGCGGTCTTGTTCTGAAATACCCCGTACCTGTTTCTTGAAGTAGCCGATGGCGTACTCGTCGGCGTAGGTGAGGAAGTTGAGGATCTCGTGTTTGATGTGGTACTCCTTCAGGTGGTTCATGAGGTGCGTCCCGTAGCCCTGAGGACAAGCATCGGGAGTCAATCAATCAATCAATCAATCAATCAATCAATCAATCAATCAATCAAGTTTATTTGTATAGCCCTTTACAATACCCAAATGGTACTCAAAGTGCTTTACAACAAAGCCATAAAACAATACAAAAAACATACAAAACATACAGAAACAACCCGCCCGGCCCCCCCCCCCCCCCCCCCCGGCGGCGTGCTGCTCTGGGCCCACCTTGACCTGCTCGTTGGACGTAACGGCGCAGAAAACGATCTCGGTGAAGCCCTGGGACGGAAACATCCGGAAGCAGATGCCCCCGATCACCCGGCCGTCTTTGATCAGGGACAGGGTCTTGTGTTTCCTGTCGGGAGGAAAACAGTTACGTTTACAAATCAGTAACGAGTAACGATTCAGCCCGTTAAAGTA